CATGGGAAGTTCAACAAGGGGAAGTGCTGGATTCTGCCCCTGGGATGGGGCAACCCCAGATGTGTGGACAGAGTGGGGAATGAGAGGCTGGAAAGCAGTGCCGGGAAAGTGCCCTGGAGGTCTTGGTCAGTGGCCACTTGGCCATGAGTCAGCAGTGCCCTGGCAGCCAGGAGGGCCAAACCTGTCCTGGGGGCATCAGGCCCAGCATCGGCCGGGCCAGGGAGGGGATTGTCCCGCTCTGCTCTGCCCTGGGGCGGCCTCACCTCAACATTGGGGCAGTTTGGGGGGACACAATATTGGAAAATTCTAAAGCTCTTAGTGTCTGAAGAAGGGACACAGAGATGGGGAAGGGCCTTGATTTGAAGCCGTGTGAGGACACTGAGGGCACTTGGTGTGTTCAGCTGGAGAAGGGGAGACTGAGGGGAGAGCTCATGGCAGTTCCAGCTCCCTGGGGAGGGGCAGAGGAGGGGCAGGCCCTGAGCTCTGCTCTGGGGGGACCAGGGACTGGACCCCAGGGAACGGCTTGGAGTCCCCTCAGGAGAGGGTTAGTTTGGATATTAGAAGAAAGGTTCTTCCCCCAGAAGGTGGTTGGGCATTGAACTGGCTCCCCAGGGCAGCACTTAGGCCGACAGAGTTCAAGAGGTGTTTGGATGATACTCTCAGGCACGTGCTGTGACTCTTGGGGATGGGCCTGTGCGGGGTAAGGAGTTGGATTTGACGATCCTTGTGGGTCCCTTCCAACTTCTGTGATTCTGTGATGAGGTAACATTTCTGGCTCTGCTTTGCTCTGATCAACCACAGACTATGTCCAGTCCTAGTGAGTGCACCTCAAAGAACATAGGCAAATCTGAGAAAGTCCAGAGGAGATGATTAGACATTCAGAAAATACGATATGGAAAGATTAAATGATCTGGGCAGTTTAGCCCAGAAAAGAGTGAAAAGACATGATGACCACCTTGATTTGTACAGGACAGTTGCAAAGACAACAATCTGTTTCCAGTATTCATGACAGGTAGTACAAGAAATAACATCTAAATAATAGCAAAGAAAATTTAGCACTGAATAGATTGACTGGCAGGTTTATGAAATCTTCATTCTGGGTGGACTTTCAGAACTAGTTGGGTGCACATCCGATGAGCATGGCAGGTGCTCATGGGTTCAACTGAACCCTCTTGGAGGTGAGGGAATGAAGCATCTGACAGCCCTAGATCTTTCTTCTACTGTTTAAAACTTGCCTGTGCTATTTTGTTTAGGAAGTACCTGCAGAGAATATAATTGCTGTCTCGCTTGTAGCCTTATCCTTCCATGCTCTTTGTTGTATCTACTGACTTGTCTTCACTTGACCATTTTGTCTTCTGGGTATGATTGTGTTATTGTTGCACTTGACTTAAAGTCTTAACATTTAGATGCTGCTATAACTTAAGATAATACCAAATGAGCAGTTTTAGATGTCTCATGCTGAATTTCAAGACAACTGCTAGTTGGGAATGCAAGGAACTCCAAAATTAGGAACAAGTCCAGGGCTGGGAGAGGTGAAACAAAGAGCAATAGGGCTCCTGGTATGAACAATGCAGGGTGTAATATAAGCTCAAGGCAAGGAGGTAGCAGGGAGCAACTTTTTAAGCCCAACTATTTCACAGGTTCTGGTGTGCTAGAGGATTTATCTATAAAAGGAAGCATGATTGACAATCAGGTGTTCAGGGTGCTTGGGGCTGTGCTAAATAACCTCCTGGAAAACAGACTGCTACCATAAGAAAATAGGGAAGCAAGTGGAGGTGATGGCTGGGTTCATCCACGCTGAAGCCGAAGTGTGATGTTAAGACCCCTGCTCAATCCAGCTGCTTCCAACACTGCCAGAGCTTCACCAAATTTCCAAGATTGCAAACATTCTCATCAACAAATTGAACTCTACCTGCTCTACCCTAAAGCATTCATCAAGTGCAGCCCAGGGACAGAACCTTACATTCAGGGCTCCAGACTGCTCAGGAGTAACTGCTGTGGCACAGAAATATGCCTGTTGCAAGAACTTTGTGTGACAGGAGCTCTGCGTCCATCCAGACAAGCAGGGAATGCAGAAGAACTGTTCCTCTGTGAGGTTCAAAACCCTCTAATCAGGTTAGATCCAGCAGCAGCACACAAGTAGCATTTCCTCTTGTCCTGGTTGTGAATACAGAGCTGCACAGCTGAGGTACCAACTCCATTTGTAGGTGAAATGATCTTGCAGCTTCTTCTCTGTTCATGGATTTTGTGGATTGTCTTTCATGGATTTCAAGGGCATTCTAAATGGCAGAGGCAAACTTTGGATCTCACATAAAAAAAACTTTTTCCTGCCTTAAGGAGAGTTTTCCCCTCACTTTCCCCCCAGCCCTGGCCATGTGTGTTCCTAGCAGGTGCCTTATTTTATTTTTAACCTCCATTCTGCATGCAGGAAACCTTTGCTTGCTGTGAACATCCGGGAATCGGAGTCTAAGCACATCCTAGAAGGATTTCCTGTTTGGGACTTTGGAGCCAGACTCCAACCTGTATGAGCAAGAGCCTCTGAGCAGTGAGCTCGGTCCTGCCAGGCTGTGGGCCAGGTGGCTACTGTCAGCTTCAGGAGCAAGTTGCCATCTAGCAGGAAGGTGCCAAACTGCCCAACTGCTTTCCATCTGCTAGGGATGAGGATGGGAAATGCACAGTCCAGTCTGGGTGGGGATGTGCCCGACTCTGGGGCCAGGGTCAGTGTGGAGGCAGAACAGCGTGAGGGGTATCCTGGCATCCCACTGCGTTTGCCTGCAGCTCTCAGAGCCTGCAGAGAGTGTGTTTTCTGTGCTCACCTCAGCTGGACTTGGGCCACTACATGCTCCAGTTTGCCACATTTCACCATCTCTTACATTATTTCAATTTTGGAAGTTCACCAAAGTAGTTACTACCAGTAACTACTACTACCGATAACAGCCTGCCTCAAGTAGGTGAACAGCTTATTTCTGCTCCTGTTGCTATGTATCAGTTGCTCTCACAAGGCACAGCTTGACTTACATCCTTCTACCAGTCCACATACAGCTCCAAAGATGCATATCAGAAAGACTGTGCAAGGCCTCTCTGAATGTCCAAGCACATGGTATGGATCTGTTCTTCCCTCTTGCCAAGGGGCTCCCAGAGCTAAACTTTACTAGGAGACCAAAAGGAATTCACTAATTTCCATCTCTGAGTAGAGGGAGCACTTGTGAATAAATTGGAAGTCTAAGAGGAGGATTGTTTGATGATCTGGGGTAATGCCATGGGGCTGAGGAATAACAAACTCACTAGTACCAAAGAAAGGACTGAAGGGAATGACCCAGGAAAATGCAGATTGCATGTAATAGTATAAATGATTCAAAGCAGATTTTAAAGGGAAACGATAGTTCGAAAACGTGATCCAATGCAGCAAGCTTGTCAAATCAAAATAGCACATCAGACACCCTTATAGGTGATTCTTTTGGGGCCAGGAAGAAAGGTTGATCAGACTTTCTGAACCGCAGTGCTACAGTAACACATAAGAAATTATTTATTCAACCAAAGAAGTTAGAAATTAATATGAAAACTGTAAGATGTTGAAGACTGGCGAAAAACCCCAAACCCAAAACAAAAAGTCGGAAGTTTTATGCTTGGGGAAATGCACAGTCTTTTCAAGGACAGCTTTGGAGCTCACCTATTTAATTTTTTTTCAGTAAAGGTCTCAGAAAGGAAAAAAAAGTACACTGATAAGGTAGATCAGTGGTACAAAGGCAAGAGGCATCGTGGGTATAGAGGGTGACTGGAACATCATAAAAGCAAAAAGCTATTATTAAAGAGTACATTAACAGAAATGGAATAAAATTAATAGATTCATAGTAGGCAGTCCAGAAATGCATAGTCCAACTTCTCATGTGAAGACAGTCAACAATACTAGGTCAAATCAGCCTTGGAAATCTGCAAGGGGATGAGACTCACTACTTTGTGAATAGCTTTTTCCAGTGCTACACTACTCGCCTGGTGAAAAAAACTTTCCCTAATGTTCACTCTGAATCTCTCAAGAGTAATTGTGGTAATTGTTATTGCTCTATTGTCTGCATTTAGTTCCATCATCTTTTTAACCTGTCCTTCAGGTAGCAGCAGGATGCTGTTACATAGCCCTGTCACCTACACATCACCAAACTGAGAGATCCCAGCTTCTTCAGTCTCTCGTTATAAATGATCAGGTGTGCCAGGCCCCTACCTATCTCCTACAGTTTTTCCACATTCCTCATGTGGGAGACAAAAATGTACAGAGAATTCCAGGTCTGGCTTTACCATGTCCCAGTTCGAGGGGCACGATTATTTCCCTTGATCTGCTGCTGATCACTCTCCTAAAGTTCTCCAATGTAGGAAGTTGTTTACCTGATTAGCAGTGAGAGCATCCTATTGACTCTTCATTCCATGCTCACCCCTATTTCCCTGTTCCTTTCAGCAAGACTGCCACTTAGCCAGGTGGTTCCCAACCTGTACCAGTTTTGGGGTCATTCTGCCTCAGGTGCAAAATTTTGTATTTTTCCTTATTGAACTTCACAAGATTTCTGCTAATCTAATTCATGTGAGTTTCTAGATATCTCTCTGAACTAAAGTGCCACATATCAGTGACCCCTCCTAGTGTCATCTTCAGACTTGTACTCCATGTTATCACGGAGTATCAACAAAGATACTGAACAATACTGGCTCCCAAATTGGTGCTCAGTGTACTTTGTTAGCTGCCATGACCAACTATGTATTGAGTCATTGATCTCTACCCTCACAGCCCAGAGGTGCAGCCAATCTTCAGCCCATGTAATGCTCCATTCTCTCAGCCCATACATCCTCAGGCTATAAATTAAAACTCTGTGGGAGCCACTGTCAAGACACTTTGCATCTACTGCTTTCCCTTCATCCATACAGCTGGTTAGTTGAGCTGCTCAGGCATGATTTGTGCTTGCTAAATCTATGCTGACTATTCCTAATTGCCTCCTTGTTCTTCATATGTTCAGAGATGGATTCTGAGACAGTGTGGTCCATGAGTTTTCCAGGTATGGAGGTGACCTTGACAAACGGATGGTTCTTTGAGTTCCTCATTGCCTTCCTTAAAGGTGAGTGTAATGTTTGAATAATAGAATCATAGCATGGGATAGGTTGGAAGGGACCTTTAAGGGTCACCTACTCCAACCCTCCTGCAATGAGCAGGGACATCTTCAACTAGATCAGGTTACTCAGAGATCCAGCCAACTTGACCTTGAGTGTTTCACCACCCTCACCATAAACATTTATTCCTTATACCTACTCTGAATTTACCGTGTTTTAGTTTCAAATCATCACCTCTTGTCCTATCACTACAGGCCTTGCTAAAGAGTCTGTCCCCATCTTTCTTATAAGCCCCCTTTAGGCACTGGAAGGGGCTCTAAGGTCTCCTCAAAGCCCTCTCTCCAGGCTGAACGACCCCAACTCTTTCAGCATGCTCCAGCTCTCTGATCATCTTTGTGGCCATTCTCTGGACTCACTCCAACAGTTTGGTGTCTGTCCTGTACTGAGGACTCCAGAGCTGTGCAGTGCCCCAGGTGGGGTCTCTCCAAGGTGCAGCAGAGAAGAAGAATTACTGCCCTGATCCTGCTGGCCACATTATTGCTGACACGTGGGGATTGAGAGCTGTTGCCCTCTATGTGAAGTGTCATTAAAGGTCTGCCAGAGAAACAGAGACATGAACAAAATCGGCTCCACAGAGCTGAACAAAAAGACCCTCCACAGACTGCATTGTCCTCTTTCCCATTTCTGTCATTTCTCTCCTTTCCAGAATGGAAACTAAATTGTTCCATGCACTGAACTAGTCTGGACCTTTATTATCCTCGTTCCCCTCTTCTGAACTTTTTTTTCTGCCTTCCTGTGACCTTTTCAAGATAGATGCAGGAGGAAATAAACTGAATATACTATAGCTTGGGGAATTTATGATAAGAATTGTGAGATGTGTTGTTCAGGGTCGAAAGGATTTGGCTTCTTTAGGGTACCTTTAGATCAGTAGCAGTAATCCAGAGCTACTTTTTATTTCTAAATCCAGCTCAGTCTATGTGGTGTTCAGGAAGAGATGCAGACACACAAATCCTGAAGGGTTCCTTCTCTGTGAAATTTGTCTGGTGGTCCCTATTCTTTCTTTAAATTGATTGTCACTGATGGAGCAGACCGAGCCATGGCCTTTATAGCAGATGATCTTAGTAATGAACTGTAGTCAATGGCAGTTTCTCCACTAAGAAATCAAAGAAGGTCCAGCAGTAGTTACTGGTCTGGGTGCTGAGTGGCTCCAACAGACACACGGACATTGCTGAGACCTGGCCTGTCTGGAGCAGGGAAAAGCTGCCCGAGTGGCCAAGCCAAGCTGAGGAGCCAGTCACTGGTAGAGATGTGTGGACAGTCACTCACCAGAGTCTTGGCTTGTCCCTTGGCATAGACTGGCACGGCCCCAGTCCCCTGTAGCACAGACACGTGGTGAGCACCTTCCAGCCTGGACCCTACGAGTCCTGATGACAGTCAAAGGGTTGGCAGGTCACAGGTACTTGGGCTCTGGGTTCTGTGCTGAAGAAGGAACTGCAGCAGAGAGGAAAGAATGGCCCGTGCCTCCGCGATCATGTCCCCACATGCCCCCAGTGTCACCTACGGCCTCCGTCCATTCCCTGCCAAGCCCTCCCTGCCCGGTCTCGTTCCCCTGCCGCCTCCTGCTCCTGCCAGCCCCTTCCCATTTTCCCGGGCTCCCAGCGCCCATCGCTTCCTTCCATCCCTCTGTACCCCGGTTGCAGCCCTTCCCCCTCTCCGTGCCGGCCCCGCTTCCCGGCCCCTTGGTGCCCCTCCAGACCGTCCGCCCCCCGGACCCCGCCCGCCCGGGGCTTGTCCCCGGGTTCCGCGCTCCGCCGGGCGCGCTCCGGTGCGGGGCGGGGATGGGGCGCGGGGGGAGGCAGGGGGGCTGAGGCGGCGCGGTCGGGTGTCAGCAGGAGCCTCCGCGCCGAGCCAGCTTCGACCCGCCGCCCGAGCGCTCCGCGGGGCACGCCGCAGCGGGGGCTGGCCGCGGCCACCGGGTTGGTACCGGGGCGCTGGAGCGGGGCCGCGGCACCGGGAGCGACCTCGGCACCGGAGCACGGGGCGGCTGCGGACGTCGCGGCGGGGCCGGACCCTGCGGGAGATCGTGACGCCGCCGACGCGGACGCGCGGTTTGTAAGTGCCAGCGCCGGGGACCGGCCCGCGCTCGCCGCCCGCCCGCTGCCGCACGGCGGCATCGCCGCCCGGGGGTTCCGGTCCGGCACCGGGACCGCCGGCTTTGTTCTGCCTCCGCCGCGCAAACAATGGAGGCGGTGGGGGGCGGAGGGGGTGCCGGGGGGGCGCGCCCACGGCGGCGCAGCACGCGGACCCGCGGCCGGACCGGGCTTTTCGCCCGCGGGCCCCGGCGCTGGCAGCGGCGAGGCGGGAACGGGACGGGACGGGGCGGGCCCGGTTGCCGCCCGCAGGGCAGACCGCCGCGGGGACGGCGCTCGGCGGAGCCGCGGGAGGCCGCCGGGCGGGGCATGCGGGCCCGAGCGGAGCGGTGAGCGGGCTGGACTGAACGCCGGCACAGGGACCCGCCCGGTGCGGGACGCCCGGTGAGCGCCGGAGAACAAGGACAGGGGAGCGGCAGAGGCGCTGGGCCGGCGGCCGGGTAGCCCCGGAGCTCCGGGGGAGCGGCCGGAAGCCCCGACAGCCGGGGGCACCGGTGTGCAGGGAGCAGGCGAGGCCCCGCAGCGCCTCGGCGATGGGCACAGCCTGGCAGGACCCGGTGCAGCGCGGGGGCGTCCCGGGGCTGGGACTGCGGGAACTGGCTCCGGCGTGAAGAAATTTCATTAGAGCTTCCTTTGTGGAGGAAGCGTTCTCAGAGACAGGAGACCCCGTGAGTAGCCCCAGTGTGGCACAAAAATGGGATCCACAAGGGTGCGGTGGGTCACTGCATCCTTGGGAGAGGATGGCCACTGCCACTGTGACTGCTCAGAGCCCATATCAGAGGGACACGGGGCTGTGTGGCCTGGCTGGGAGCGAGCAGAAGGGTGCTGGTCCTGAAGGCCCAGGTGGGAAATGGTAGGAGGGCCAGCAGGCATGGAGATGGCTGTAGCAGCAGGCTAAGTGCAGGCTGGAAGGGAGTTTTTAGCCCAAGGGTGCACTGCAGGCAAGTCTAAACTGTGTATGGTTCAGAGGGCAGATCATCTGAAACTAGAGAGAGAATCTGTGTGAATGTAGAGGAGGAAAGCATATTCCAGATCAGTAACTGGTGCTCAGCAAAGATTAAATAGGCTTCTGAATCCTTCCTCATCTGGACTGGTGTCTCAAAAACATCATTACATGAGTCATGGCCTCTCATGTGAGACTTAGGGTATGGCATCAGCAGCATCTGCAGCTTTGATGGGGCCTTTGCACAGCAAGCATTCTGACATCTGTTTGTGGCGTGCACAGTGGGTGCCATCTTTCCATCTTCTCTGCTGGGGCTGCTGTGGGCCCACATCCCTTTTCTCATGGCTGACACGAGGCGTGAGGTGCCACTGGAAGGCAGAGGTGGACACAGTGGTCCCAATGCAATTCCATATATTTTTTTCTTCCTAAATGTGACGTATCTGCTAAGTGTAGGCTGGGCTCTCCTGGTGCCCCAGCCTGTCAGCTTGGATGTGCTTATGGATGTTGCAGCTTGCTCCATTTTAGCTGCCTTTCCTGTCAACATCCTCACCATGGCTCTGGACCCCAAACGCCTGTGTGGAGAGATTCTCATCCTGGCAGTTTTCTTCAGAGGCTCCTGCTGCCGTTTTTCACAAGGGATCTTGGTGCCCGGCAGTGGGAGGGAGAGAGGGGGAGTGGGGCAGTCTGGCTCACGTTACAGGGACCGGCCAAGCCAGCCCCTGCGCTGAGCTCTCTGCTAACTGGAAGCAGCTGTGCAGATTTGGTGACTCTGCATCCACTGAGGTCACTGTTGTCTCCCTATGACCCAAGCCTGCAGACCTCATCAGAACAGGGGGCTTCTGCTACCCCGGACTGGTGTAGCCTGGCAGCTGGGCAGTTGCACCTCTTGCCAAAAGACAGGCTCTGAAACTACCCAATTGCATCCAGGGAGGATGGAAATGGAGAATTTTACACAGGCTTTCATCACCAGTTCCCCAACCCAGGGACCCTAATTTTTGTTCCCTGCTTGTCCCAGTGCTCTCAGACGGTCTTCACACTCCCCAGATTCACTTTTCGAGTTTCTCTCCTCCCTGCCAGCAGCTTACAAAGCCTCACTGGCTTCTCAAGAGCTGCATTACTAATCAAACCAGTTGGGCTTTTCCCCATATCTGTGGCCTGATCTGTTCCGGGCACTACGCAAGATCTTTCAGCTCCATCCTGTCCTCAGCCACTGAGTTTGCCCCAGGGAACCTTGGCCCTCTACCTGCTTTTCCACTCTCATTTTTATTTTTTTGTTCTTTGTGTCTAAGCTCCTGCCAAGACTTTAAACCCTCTGCCCCGTCCCTTCCCATGACCTAAGCAGCTGGGCACCACTGGGATGGTGCAGTTTCATCACAGAAGCTACCTGGGACTCCATGCTCTAGCACTGCATGTTCTGGGGTGGGCAGTTACCCCTCCAGCTGGGGAATTAGAACTGGCTCCAACAGAGAGACAGACCTGTCTAGGAGCACTGAATTGGTGCAGATTCCCAACTCAGAGCCCAAAGGGACAAAAGTATCTTCTTTTGACTTCTGCTCTTGGAACAGTGCAAGGGTTCTCACTTGCTGGGTGCAAGGGAAGCATGTGGATTTACCTCAGAATGTGTGGATAGACCTCAGACACCAGATGCCCACTGAAGTAAACACTTCTTTATGTGTAGAAAATACTTTTTAATGTTTCTGTTTCTATCAGTAACCTGGAATTCTACAGGCAAAACCAATCTATACAGCTGATCCAAGGTGGGAAAGGGGACCCAGGAATAACCATCCTATTGTTCCCTAGAAAGGGTTAACACCACCGTGGGTTCTTTGGTCAAGGGCTGACATTCTTAGTTCCCAAACTAAACAATGTCAGCCACCTCCGTCCCCCAAAACAGGGAGGTTCCTGCTCCTTCATCTGACATGAGCGGCTCCTGAGTGTGGTTATGGGACCAGCAGCAAACGCTTTCAAGAGAGTCCAAGTGTGAGCTCATGCTGCCGCCATCCCCGCAGACCACGGAGCCTCGTTCACCGGGGCTGAGCGAGTGCTGAGGCTGGTGCTCCTCACCAGCTCCTCGGCCGCTGGGTTCCCCTGGCTGTTCTCAGCGGGGTGGGCAGGGCAGGGGGCTGGCAGCCCGTGGACACGGGGAGCGCGTCCGCCGTGTCCGGCTGCGGTGCTGCAGGAGCTGTGGCTGGCTGCGCGTCCCTCCCCCATTGCTGCAGCGAAATGCAGCTACGGGGGAAAGGGAGGGAAGGAGCCGGAGCCAGCAAGGAGCAGCGAGAAGGAGACAAAGGAGGGGAGTGAGCAGCAGAGGGTGTGGGACGGGAAGGAACCCGAGCAACCGGCAGCTCAGAGGGAGTCGCTGCGTTCCTACTGCACTGCCACCACCCTCCATGGTACCAGCTTGGGGCACCCACAGATCTCGGTGCCAGCCCAAACAATGGGCATGGTCTGATTTTATCCCGGGCATTCCCAGCTGTGGGCACATCCTTTGCAATACAGCCGTTTTGATTTATTGTTCACTGGATGGAAGCCCACTCCCTCTCTGTGCTCCCTCCCAGGGACACCAGATTTCCACTTCATGGGTTTTTGGCACCTATATCCCTGTGGTCCCGAAAGGCACGCTGCTGGGGAGGGGGGGCGGGGAGTGGGGGACGAGAGCTAGAGTCTCAACTGGTCACTTGCTGAGCTCTCTCACGATTTGAGACCAGCTTTTCTCAGGGTGGAGAGGTGCAAGGCTGCTGTTTGTCTAAAAACTTCTGTCCCCTTGCAGACAGGCTCTGAGCCTCACAGGAAGCGTTCAGCTGTTAAAGGCACAGGAGCACACTGCTCTGGGGCAGCTGGTGCCAGTGTTGCCAGCTGGGTGGTGGTTGGGAGGGGCAGTTTAGGGTGTAGGTGATGGGGTATGAGCTGCTCACCTCGATGTGCTGTCAGGTGTGACCTGCTGGGCTGACTCCATATGCTGTCCCCGGCCTCCGTTCTGGGCACCCTCTGACATGTTGTCACATTTGCTCCTTGTGAGAGACAGGTGATACACAGTGGTTGGGCAGCAGGTACTTGGCAGGCCTTTCCTCTCAAGGCATTTTTCTCTGTCCTTCCTTTGCTCCCTCTTAATCAGTATCCTCTGGTCTGCATTCCATGCAGGATTAAAGCAAATACTGCAAAGGAGATCAAGACACCCTCTGCTCTGCCGGTTGCCAGCCATGGAGCAGATGAAAGGGTCAGCCATGCTTCTGCTGGAGCTGCTCATTCTTGGGGGCCTGAGAGCAGGGATGGGCTCTGCTGTCCTAGGCACCCTGGATCTACAAATAGATGAAGAACAGCCAGCTGGCACCATCATTGGGGACATCAGTGCTGGCCTGCCCCCTGGAACTAGTGCCTACATGTATTTCATCTCGGCACAGGAGGGCAGCGGTGTCTCCACTGACTTGGGGATAGATGAGAACACGGGGATCATCAAAACAGCTCGTGTCCTGGACCGTGAGACTCGGGACCACTACAGCTTCATTGCTGTCACCCCGGAGGGCGTCACAGTAGAAGTGAACATCCAAGTGAATGACATCAATGACCACGCTCCAGCCTTTCCCAAACAGCAGAGCACCCTCCAGATTCCAGAGCACACACCCACTGGCAGTAGGTTTCCCTTGGACCCGGCCTTTGATGCTGACAGTGGCCTCCTGAACACACAAGGCTATGTGATTAAGGGAGGGAACGTGGGGCAGGCCTTCCGCCTGGAAACACGTCGAGGACCCAACGGGGTCCTGTATTTGGACCTGGTGGTCAGCAATGTTCTGGACCGGGAGAATCGTTCATCGTACTCGCTGCTGTTGGAAGCCTACGATGGTGGTTCTCCTCCCCGCAGCACCCAGATGACGCTGGATGTGTCCATCCAGGACATCAATGACAATGCTCCCAGCTTCAACCAGAGCCGCTATCATACCCTGATCTCAGAGAATCTGAAACCTGGCAGCAGCATCCTGCAAGTCTTTGCCTCTGACGCAGACGAAGGTGACAATGGGGATGTGATTTATGAGATCAACCGGCGGCAGAGTGATCCTGACCAGTACTTCACCATTGATGCCCGGACTGGAGTCATCAAGCTCAACAAGGGTCTGGACTATGAAGTGAGGAAGGTGCATGAGCTGGTGGTGCAGGCAAGGGATAAGGCTGTCCATCCTGAGGTCACCACAGCCTTTGTCACTATTCATGTGCGTGACTACAATGACAACCAGCCCACCATGACTATCATCTTCCTGAGTGAGGATGGCTCCCCACAGATCTCCGAGGGAGCCCAGCCTGGACAGTATGTGGCTCGCATCTCTGTTTCTGACCCAGACTATGGAGAGTACTCCAATGTCAATGTTACACTGGAGGGAGGGGATGGCAAGTTTGCCCTCACTACTAAGGATAACATCATCTATCTGATCTGTGTGGACCAACTTCTGGATCGGGAAGAAAGAGACTCCTATGATCTGCGGGTGACAGCTACTGACTCAGGAACACCCCCACTCCGGGCAGAATCGGCCTTTGTGTTGCAGGTGATGGATGTCAATGACAACCCCCCACTCTTTGACCAGCAGGAGTACAAGCAGAGCATCCCCGAGGTGGTGTACCCAGGCAGCTTTGTCCTGCAGGTGACGGCTCGTGACAAGGACCAGGGTCCCAACGGGGAGGTGCGGTACAGTATCGTGCATGGCCACGACACCCACTCCAGCTGGTTTGCCATCGACCCTGCCACTGGCATTATCACCACCGCTGCCCCACTGGATTACGAGAAGGACCCTCAACCTCAGCTGACTGTGCTGGCCACAGACCGGGGAACTCCTGCCCTCTCTTCCTCAGCTGTGGTGCACGTGGCCTTGCAGGACGTCAATGACAACGAGCCGGTGTTCAGGAGTAACTTTTACAATGTATCCCTGAAGGAGAACACCCCCGTTGGGACCTGCTTCTTGCAGGTAGGTACAGTCTTGGGGAGGGCATGGCCAGGGCTGTGAGTGGCTTGGGGTGCTCTGCGGGGTGTTCAGTGCAGATGCCATGGCTTTGATGGGCAGTGTTTGCAGCAGGAATGCTGGAGCGGAGATTCCTGCTCTCGATGTGAGTCTGGAATGGGGCCAAGCGGTGTCACGCCCTTTCTGCGTGCGAGTCGTGGGCAATGCCACTGACACTGGGCACACTGCGAGGCTGTCCATTGTACAGAGCATGCTGTGGGCCTCAGTCGAGGTGGCTTCTGCTGTGCCAGGCCTTGCTTGCACCAGTGTGGAGCTGCCTTGCAGCCAGGGCACTCACAATAGAGCTCAGGAACCACCTCTGGGAAGCTGCCTGTAACCAGGCTGCGAACTTCCCTCTCCCCCACTCCCCCTCCCCTGCGAGGTCATTAGCCCAAGTTCATCAGTGTTACTGGGGCTGGTTGTGAGCATTAGTATTAATTATGCTAATGAACTGAGGCACGTGCTGCTGCGCCAGCCTTTATGCTGCAAGAGGTCGCAGCTGCTGCCCCTCCGAAAGCTCCGTGACCCCACAATGAGCCAGCAGTGCCATTTGGATTCTGTGTGTTCTGTGTTCCCTGCATTTGGTGTTTCTGTCACAGCTCAAGCCCTGGAGCCCTGGTTCCTGGGGACAGGTGATGCCACCCGCCATCAGGACTGGGGACAGTGGAGAGCTGGTGCAGGGGTGCAGTGAGGCACTCCTGACCACAGCGGTGTCCAGGCTGTCCATTGGGACAAGCATCAGTGACATTGAGGACGCTTCTTTGCTGAAGCCTTGGGACATAAGGATGTCTGGCTGGGGCCATAAGGAGCTCTGGAGCCAGGTGGTGAGAGGTGCCCACAGTGCCAGGAGGAGGAGGAATCCTGGGGCCCATGAGACAAGGCAGGAGGAGGTCCTGTGACCTGGCCTGGGAAAGGGGTCTCTAGATGGGCCTGGAGAAGGATTTGGAGCTGGCAAGAAAGAACTGTCTATGGGTGTTCTGTGGATGCATGGCAGTGGCATGGGGGGGGTGAGTGGGGGCTGGGAGGGTGGGCTGTGGTGGGTGTGTGAATGCATGTGACTGTGAGTGGGTGGGAACACTAAAGAGGGGCTTGTCGGGGGCTGAATGCAGGGGATGGGGTAGGAGTGTGAGGGAAAGGAGGAATGTAGAAGAGAAGGGATGTGGGGCAGGGGCAAGTGTAGGATAGGGCAGATCTGGGGGGTTTGGGGATGGGTCAAGGTGGGATTAGGGGGAAGTCTGGGCAGAAGAAGTGAGTTGGAGATGAGGAGGAAGATTTGGGTCAGAGGAGATTTAGGTTTGGTCTATGCAGGGTCGCACTACACATTGTCCCATTCTGGGGTGGGTGGGGATGGGGCAGGGCTGGGGACAGAAATGGGGACGGGGTCAGGAATGGGTGCAGGAACAGGGTTGGAGCAGAGGAGCTGCATGTCCCTGGGTGAGCATGGTGGCCTCAGGCGTGTGCAGGGATGTCTGGGCTGCACAGCCCCCAAAGGGAGGCCCTCCTCTCTCCTTGTCCGTGCCTTCCCGCTCAGTGCCGCTCGCCATGTGGGAAGGCGCTCTGGAAATGCAATCGGAGATGGCGGCTGGGCTCCTGACTGCGAGTGCGGGGCTGAGCCGGAGGGAGAGCGGACCCTGCGGATGAGCCAGGGTGTGCGAGGCCGTGGGGACGCATCCAGAAGCGGGTCCAGCATGTGGCTGCCTGGCCCTTGAAGGGTCCAGCCCGGTTCCATGCTGCACAGGGCACGGGGCTGACCCGGCGGTCAGTAGCGACAGAGGCTTTGGCCAAATTTTGATGGTCTTGGCTCAGTCCTTGTGTTTCGTTTGGAAACGGCGTGTCTGGGCTGAGTGCAGGTAACTCCCGCGTGGCCTCGGCACAAAGCAAACAGCTCACACATCTGCTGCTGCTTCCTCTGAGCCGGGAAATGTGAGAGGATGGGAAAGGAGGCTGGCCAGGCTGATGGCTCGGCCGGGGATGCAGCAGGAGCCAGCCAGATCTGGGAGCTGGACAGAGCCAGGGCAGGGAGCCCTGAGCTCGGAGCACAGCTGCCCAGCATGACCACCCCTTTTGTCATGAACAGGAGGGCTTTAGAGGTGCTGCCAGGGCCCACAGTGGCCAGTGTTCCACAGGATTACCCATGTCAGGTGTGCTGCCCCACAGCCCCTGTGTGCCATTGCTCCTGCCTGACTCCGTCTGTCCATGGCTTCCAGGCATCAGGGCTCACCCTGACTTGGGATGGTAAAGGGTCTCTGTCAAGGTCTGGGTTTGGGCCATACCCACACAATGGTCATGAGAGCTTTGGCCCTGCCAGATGACATGCAGGACACAGGACAGTCACTCAGGTCAGCACAGAACTCGGTGGGTTTGGTTCTCCATCGGACTGTCATGTTTCTAAGCAGAAGACCCTGGGAGGATGAGGTCTGTTTTCAGACAGTTATATCTGCTCTCTGTGGGTAGGACAAACAGTGGGGAACAGAGGAGTCCCTGTGAGTGACCAGGAGAGACCTGAAGAGTGTTTGCAGGTCTCCTGCTTCCCGTCTTTGCCAGGTCAGTCTTTGTACCTGGGGTACAAACAGGGATGAGCAGAGCAGGTTGCTGGCCTGAGCTCTGGAGAAAGAAAAGGAACTCATAACATCTCCTCTGTCACTTGTGTTTATCATGGGCCAAGTCCCACAGTAGCAGACTCTGCATGAGCATGAAGCAAAGAAAATGGCAAACTCTCAGTTCAAGTCTGAGATGAGAGAGAAACACCAGTGGAGACAGAACCCATGTAACCAGTGAACATACAATCAGCAGAAAATGGAGCAGGAGACAGTCACTGGCTAGCTTCCTTGTTCCTCTCTGTGGCCATCAGCTGATGATGCAGAAGCTTTAGGGCACACTGGACCACGTTCTAGTGCTGTGGTTCCATGATAGGAAGCACTGCTCTGGTATAAATTCACCCTGCTGGCTTAAATTTGTTTTAAACATTTGACTTGTACCAGCATGCTGCATGCATGGTCAGATACTGTTTTTCTGGGACTTTCTGACTTTTCATGCTAAATCAAGCATTGTCTGTGCTCTGACAGAGAGCCGTGAACCCCATGTAGTGAGCATGGGCTGACTGGACAAAAACCTGAATGACATGAGATGGTGGTTAATTGAATCTTGCATAGATCCAATATTGATGATTATGGAACCAGAGCATCCATACACACAATTGTTGGGGGACATCCAAAATGAAACGCTGACCAGCAATGCACCCAAACGTAGAGTCTCTGCAGTTTTGAGGATAAGTCTGATGAGTTTTGGGGTCTGATTTGTGATTCCATGGGACATTTGTGGGACATGCGTGCACTGCACTGGGACAGCCCTGTGGGCTGTGCCCCTGGGAGGAAGACGTGGGTGAAGAGCTGTAGGCTACACCAGGCCACATACACTGTATTACCGAAAGAGAACGTGTGGAGGGCTAATCCTGATGCCTCGGTTGTGCTGCTGAAGTGGCAGCTGTGAGGGGACACGAGGCATAGCTGTGCATGGGGACTGAAGCAGCACGAGGACTCGTGCTCACCAACTGCTGCCAAGGAGAGGGGGCATTGCTGCCTACGTTTGTGTTCTTGAGTCAAGGGATTTAACATCAACCTATTTTCAGACCTTTGCACGACATAGAACAGGCCTCCCCCTCCTCAGAAGCAAGGCAAGCTTTCCGAGGCGAAATGGGGAGATGCCTGTGAGTGTGCTGGGGAGTGAAGCAAGGGGAGGGAGAGCATCATGGTCCTGGGGAGTGGGCTGCCATGTGGGAGAGTCTGGAGGTACACAGGAGTGTGGACATGGGGGAGATGCTGGTACATGGGGAGGTTGTGGGGGGAGGTGAGTGCTGTTGTTACGGCCAGAAGAGCTGCATTTGTTCCAAATTCCTGTGAAAGTTATTTCCTTGCGCTGCCAGCAGCCTCCTCCTGGGCTTGGCACAGCAGCCAGCGCCATGATTAATTCAAGTAGCATTTCCCCTGGAGCTGCAGCAGCTTTTCCACTGCAGCTGAGAGGCCCCAGCCCCTTGCGCTCCTCTCCCCCCATGCTCTGCTCCTCCTCCCAGCCCCCTCGCACAGCTCTCTCCTTCCTCCACGCAATCCCCAGCCCCCTCACAGCTGCCCCTTTTCCCTTACCTCTGCTTCAGCTCCAGGCCCCTCAGAACTCCTTCCTCCCACCGCCCTTGCTCACACAGCTCCCTCCTCCACGTGCACCCATAGCCCCACGCTGGTGCACGCTGCCCTCCAAAGGCCAGTCCCCGTGTCCCCCTCACAGAGC